GCCCACGAGACGATCGTGATGAATAGGCAGCGGCAGAACGATCTTATAGCAGAACTCCTGACCCGACCAAAGCCCCATATATATAGCCAACACATAGCCTACATAAACTTCACTCGCTTCCACTTGCCCAAGCCCATTTATATCAACCTGATCCGCGATCCCATCGATCGGATCATCAGCTGGCACTACTACATTCGGGCTCCGTGGTACTACCGCGATATGAAGGCTAAATTGGGGGACAAGGCCATTGACACGCCCTCGGACGAGTTCATGAACCTCGACCTGGACACCTGTGTGCGGAACCAGGATCCCCACTGCACGTTCACCCAAATGCAGGTCAAGAATCCGGTGGGCGACCACCGACGACAGACGCTCTTCTTCTGCGGCATGAATCAGAAGCTGTGCATGTAAGTAGGAAGTAGATAGGGACGCCAGTAAGCTAGTAAGCTAGTAAGCTTGTAACCCATAACTTTGGATAGGCCCTTCAACTCGGAGGCGGCCATGCAAAAGGCCAAGCGGACAGTGGAGACGGAGTACGCGGTTGTGGGCACCTGGGAGGATACGAATATAACGCTTTCCGTCCTGGAGGCGTATATACCGCGATTTTTCCGCAATGCCAAAGTGGCCTACTACTGTAAGAGTTTTACGATGTAAGCTGAGGATGTATCTGAATGCGCCTAATTTTTTCAGTGGGAAAGGACCGATTGTCGCGAGTAAATCGCAACAATGTCACTCGAATCGTCAGCGATGAAACTAGACTCATTCTAAGGAAGAATCTCACCAACGAGATCGAGTTTTACGAGTTCTGCAAACAGCGTTTGTATCTTCAGTATGCCGCTTTAAGTCATGGAAAGCGATTTGGGGAGGATGATTATCTCTTGGTGCCGGAACAGCAAAACGAATACAATGAGGACTATTAGTACACATACCTTTGATAGGAACAAAGTGATAAGCCAGTATGAAATGTATAAGAAAGCGAGAAAACTCAGGACTGCTAGAAAAACTTTAAATAAATGAATCCGAACAATTATAGTTTTGTTCCACACTTTAAACAACTCGCATTCGCTTTTGTCAAAATTATCCTTGTATTTATTATTGCCTTTCTGAAAAGACCTGCTGTGTCTAAAATAAGAGCTTTCTGTGTGTCTTCATGTTGTACTGCAAGTTGGTGTGGCTCTGCCTGCTGTTGGATGTGCTCTCTACAACTATGTACTGACCTTTTGCAGCTATGGCGATTGAATCCGAAATTCCTAAATAACACCAAGTTTCACACTAGCGATATTATCTTCTTCAATCGAGTGCCCAAGACGGGCAGTGAAACGCTAATCAAGTTGATGATTGAACTGGGAAAAATAAACGACTTTCAGAATGAAAGGTCCCCGTATTCGAAACCCACTGGAATGTACTGGAATGTGGAGCGCCAAGAGCAGGAAGCCACGCGCATTCTGGACCTAAAGGAGCAACCAGCCTTCGTCTATGCAGAGCACATGAACTACATGAACATCCGCCAGTTTCACTTGCCCCAACCAATCTACATTAACATGGTAGGCAGAAAATCTGACCATTGATGGCTTACTCATACAAACCTTGATTTATCAGATTCGAGACCCCGTAGAACGAGTGATCAGCTGGTTCTACTATAAACGCACTCCCTGGAGCTCTATTAGCATGTACAAGGTGACGGGGAAAATGTATAATCGCACCTACTACATTAAGAACTTTGAGGATTGCGTCCTAACTAACGATGCGGAATGTCGATATGACTACGGACTTATGTTCAAAAACGATCCCGGCGATCACAAGCGTCAGAGTCTGTTCTTCTGCGGACACTCCCCCATTTGCGAGTAGGTAGCTTGATATCCGGGTAATCCGCAGTCTAATGGTAATGGTTTCCCCATCCAAGACCCTTCAATACCCCGGCGGCCATTGCGAGGGCCAAACAGAATGTAGAGCGAGATTTCTCAGTGGTTGGTTCCTGGGAGGATGCGAATGTCACTTTGACAGTGCTCGAGCACTATATACCCCGATTCTTCAAAGGTAGCATGGAGCTGTACTATGGTAACGACCTTTAAAGCTTCTTTCCCCGAAGTGCTTAAAAATGCCCATTCATTCCCATAGAACCCGATAACGGCCTCGCCTTTCTGAACGAGAATATCAACCACTGGAAGCCGAAAATTAGCGAGCGCATCAAGCAAATAATGCGGGCTAACTTCACCCAGGAATACGAATTTTATTATTTTTGCAAGCAGCGCTTGTATCGGCAGTACTTTGCAATAAATAAGCACTTGCATTTCTGAGTATCAGCGTGCTCCCTTCGTTTTTCCATTAACAATTCTGTAGTTCATTTTCCGTCAATCCTTGGCTTTGTTCATTTTTTTGGAAGGAAGCGCACTTATTCTCTCCCCATTTTCAAGCTTGAAAACTTGGACCCCGCCCATTTGAATAATACACCCAAAGCGGAGCGCGATTTCGTATTCTACAATCGCCTGGAAAAGACAGGAAGTCAATCGATGACGCGGCTCATCAAGCAGCTGGGTGATCGTCTTGGGTTTGACACCTACAGAAACATCGTGCGACCCTCGAGGCCGATTACCGACGACGAGGAGAACGAGAATGATCTGGTTGAGCAGCTCTTCGAACTGGGGGAACACGCGGTCTACGTGGAACACGCCAATTGGGTCAACTTCACGAAGCACGGCAGTCCTAGTCCCATCTACATCAACATGATTCGCCATCCCATTCAGAAGGTGATCAGTGCCTACTACTACCAACGCCATCCACTGATCTTCGCCCAGACTCTGATGCGGAATCCCAATAAGCCATTGAAGAACAAGAAATTCTTCGACACCAAGTTCAATGATTGCGTCAGAAATCGGGTGCGCCCGTATTGTGTCTTCGACGCCCACAATCCGTTCAACGGCGATTGGAGGAGGTTCTCCCTACATCTTTGTGGGAACTCGGAAATTTGCACGTAGGTCCTAGTCCTCTCAGAATCCCAAATCCCCTATTATCCCGAATCCAAGTTAGAAAGGAAATAGGCTATACGGCTATATAATAATCTCTGTATGTCAAACTCATCAATTCACTTAAAAGAGCATATACCTATTTCTTTAAAACTTGGCCGCTGATTAGATAGATACTCGGAATGTTCTGGCATATAAGGTCTTCTCATTCAGGCATTTTAACTCGGAAACAACCACCCAAATCGCCAAAATGAATGTGGAACGGGAGTACGCCGTTGTGGGTAGTTGGGAGGACACAAATGTGACATTGGCTGTGTTAGAAGCCTACATACCGCGCTTTTTTACCGGTGCCACCGAGGTCTACTACAGTATGTCAATCCCTTCGATTCAGGAGAACTCGGCTAACGTTAAACTTCCCTTTCCAGACAGGACTGAGCAGTTTACGATAAACACGGTTTCGCATGACACCCATCTGGATAAGGATGTGGAGGAGTATTTGAAGAGCAGTTTCTCCTTCGAGATCGAGCTATATTTGTTTATCAAACAACGACTCTACAAACAGTATATTGCCGTCCATAAGAACGCATTTCAATCGAATTAGTATTATGTACCACTAGGCTTACCAAAATGAAATGAATACAGGGTTTTGCAATTGACTTATACAGCTTAGTTTCAACTCGAGTCCCTTTTCCCTCTTTCGCTACTAATCATTTCGGATGGCTTGCTTGCTTGAATTCACTCTCCACTCTGCCACCCATATCAGAAATAATTTCAAGGAGGACCAACACCCTTTGCAGATCCTTCAGCTAAGTCCTGATAAGCTGAACAATACCCCCAAGGCCGAGATTGACGTGTTGTTTTTCAATCGGGTGCCGAAGACAGGAAGCATGCAACTGATTGAGCTAATGAGGCAGCTGGGGAAAGTCCACGATTACGAGGTGGAAAAGGATCCCCAAAAGGGTGGAGTTATTCCCCTCCTGGAGACCGCCGAGCAGAGTGACATGATCGATAATATTGTTAACCTTGAGGACGGCACCGTGTTCGCCAGCCACGTGAATTTCCTAAACTTCACCAAACACGAGCAGCCCAGACCCATCTACGTCAACATGGTCCGGGATCCCGTGGAGAGGGTGATAAGCTGGTACTACTACATCCGAGCTCCGTGGGTCTTTGTTCCCGGAAGAAGGCGCAACAATCGCGAAATGCCCAACCCCAAATGGGTCAACACCGAATTTGATCAGTGCGTCACGAGTGGCGAAAAGGTGTGCACCTACATCGAGAATTCTCTGCTGGAACATGTGGGCGATCATCGGCGACAAACCTTGTTTTTCTGCGGTCACAATGAGTTCCAGTGCACGTGAGTTAGGGTTGCATGGCAGCATTTTCTCTCAGTGATACCTCGTACCCTCTGTAGACCTTTCAATGCCCGTCTGCCCCTTCAACTGGCCAAAATGAATGTGGAACGGGAGTACTCAGTGGTGGGAACTTGGGAGCACACGAATGAAACCCTTGCCGTTTTAGAGGCTTACGTGCCGCGCTATTTCGCAGATGCCTCCAAAATGTATTACTGTAAGTCTCGAAGGCAATTGAATTGGGAGAAGAATATCTGTTAGATCAAGAAATACTCGGAATACATAGAAAACCCACTAGATTCTTGATTTTGGATATTCTCTCTTCTTAACTTCCTTTAGAAGTGGACAGATTTGAGAAAAATTGTATTATTACAGCGGGCTTACATGCAGATAAGCAAAATGTTAACCCAATGAAGCCGCATATTCCGCAGGATATTTTAGACATGGTTCGTCGGAATTTCACGCGGGAAATTGAATTTTATCAGTTTTGTCGCCAGCGGTTGCACAAACAATACCTGGCCATCAAACTGAACGATCTTAAACGAGTGGACAAGTCTTTGGCCAGGTTAATTGAGGCCAAGGCAATGGCCATCAACAACTAGTCTACTTAGATGTAATACAAAATAAATTAATAAAGCTGAGAGGATAAGCAATCTCAGAATCTTATCTTGCTTCATTTCCTTGGGGTCTTCTTCGTTTATATCTATATTATTCAGAAACAATCTATATTATTCGAAAAAAATGTTTCGTTGCAAACAGATCAAAAGCATCTAAGGACTTCCTCATAATCTATAACTATCGCTTCATAACCAAACCAAAAAAGCTTAGATATAATTTCTTTCTCTTCGATCCTTCGCACTCTACGGAACACACTCTTAATCGCTTGAAAATCGGGGAGAATGGAAAAGGTCGCTGCTTACTAACCAGGATAAGAAGCTCCCTGTGTTATAGAATACCTATCATCTCTAGCTTAAGCACCTGAGCGCAAGTCGCCTCAACAACACAAAAAACGCGGAAATCGAGGTGCTGTTTTTTAATCGCGCCGCAAAAGTGGGAAGTGAATCTATGCTGGAGCTCTTCATTGCACTGGAAAATTACAACGAAGATCTAATACTGGAAAGACGGGGTCTCCATACCAGATCCGTTCGACAAATGAACAAAAAGCAGAGACGTGAATCCGCCCAATTCGTAGCCGATCTGGAGGAGGGCACCATGTACATTGAGCACATCAATTGGATTGACTTCGATGAATTCGACCTGCCCCAACCCATTTACATCAATTTGGTGCGCGATCCGGTGGAGCGGGTCATAAGCTGGTTCTTTTACGCTCGGAGTTCCTACAAAAATGCCATCGAGTACCGAAAGAGGCCCAACCAAAAAATAAAGCCCGAGTCCTGGTACAAGAAGAACTTCAATGACTGCGTACGGAGTGGAGATCCCGAGTGCCAGTACGTGCCCCACACGGTCAAGGACACGATAGCCAACTTCAAGAGGCAATCCCTATTTTATTGCGGTCATCACGATGATTGCCTGTAAGTAGATAGGGATGATAAGGTTTCCCCAACGCCATAGGCTAAGCTAATAGTGATCTTTTAGACCCTTTAACTCGCCAACTGCCGTGCAAATGGCGAAGGAGCACGTGGAAAGAGATTACGCTGTTGTGGGCAGCTGGGAGGACACGAATGTAACCCTGACCGTTCTCGAGAACTATATACCACGCTTCTTTCGCGGTGCGAAGCTCATGTATGAAAGTAGGTCCCCTATCCCCCATCCCAATTTCCTGTCCTGCGAAATTATATTGAATTCTCCATTCCCAAAACAGTGCACAATAGCAAGATCACCAATCGGAACAAGAATAAGCGCAAGCCGTTTATAGAGCCCGAGGTCAAGGACATGATTCGCAAGAACTTTACTAACGAGTACGAGTTTTACTACTTCTGCAAGCAGCGTCTGTACAAACAGTATTTGGCACTCAATCTGAAGGAGTTGGAGGTGCATGGTCTTCTAAACTAGTTGGGTTGGAGTCCAAGACTCTCTAGTCCCTGAGACATTAGATTGTATTTGGTGATATATGCGCGAACAAATCTTCACATTCAATAAACAGTAGTCAGTAAACCCGTAGACTAGACCCACACATTATTTACACCTTGAACCCATATCTGTGTCTTTTCGTTTGTTGTGTGACTTAAACCCTAAGCCCGCCCATGAAGCTTCTAAAACCCTTATCCCATATCCCCTCCCCAACAGTTAGGTAGCCTAACACCTAGCCAACTGAACAATACAGCCAAGGCCGAAATGGATCGCCTATTTTTCACGAGATGTGCGAAAGTGGGCAGCGAGTCGCTATTGGAGTTTATGGAGCATCTTCAGTATATCAACAACTTCCATGTGGATAAGTACGGAATGAAAAAGCAGTCGAAAAGGCAACTGAAACCACTAGCTCAGGCTAAGACTGCTGGCTATATCTATAACATGGACGAGGGATCCGTCTATATAGAGCACATCCCTTGGATCGATTTCCACAAGTACAACCTACCCAAGCCCATCTTAATCAACCTGGTTCGAGACCCCGTGGAGCGCATGATAAGCTGGTATTACTACGTGAGGAACTCCTACAGGAATGCCATTTTCTACCGCCGCAATCCCCTGGCTCCTCTTAAGCCCACGGCCTGGTTCAAGAAGAATTACAACGAGTGCGTGAGGAGTGGTGACCCCGAATGCCAGTACGTTCCATTGGCAGTTACCGATGTGGAGGGAAACTTCAAGAGGCAGTCAATTTTCTTCTGCGGTCACGATCAGGACTGTTTGTGAGTGCTGTAGTGCAGTCCATGGCGTTTTCAAGAGTAGTCGTCCTAATCGCAACCCTTTTCCAGACCCTTCAATTCTCCCCTAGCTGTTCAGATAGCCAAGCGTAGGGTCGAAACGGAATACGCAGTGGTGGGAACTTGGGAAGAGACCAACATAACTCTAACTGTTTTGGAGCACTATATACCACGTTATTTTGCCAGAGCTAAAATGATCTTTCACCGTAAGCCCCGAATCAAGGATCACCCAGGCCTGCCATTTTAAGAAATTCCTTTGCAGTGTATCAAAAGTCCCTGCAGAATCGCAATCGCAATAACAGAAAGCCGCACGTGGATGCAGATGTCAGGGCCATGGTCAGGCGGAACTTCACCCATGAATACGACTTTTACTACTTCTGCAAACAGCGTCTTTATATGCAGTACATAGCCCTTAAGCGAACCGAATTGGAACGACTGAATTTCTCCTGAACTCGTAGACTGAACTTTTAGTTTTTGACATAGTTTTTCCTTGATGGTAGCTCGTTAATAAAGTATTCAATAGTAATGTAACTAACATGTATACATCATAAAGGTATTTCTTGTGAAAACATTAGACCAATCCCATCTATATAAATCGCAGCTCGCCTCGCTGAGCACTGAAAAGCTGAACAACACTCGGCACTCTAAGCTGGAGGTGATCTTCTTCAATCGTGGAGCCAAAGTCGGAAGTGAAGCTCTGATGGAACTCACTCAAACCATGGCTCCCTATAATAACATGACAGTGGTTACCAAAGGTCCAATGGATATTGTTTCCCGCACCCGGAACGCTAAAGAGCAAATGATACAGGCACTTTGGGTGACCGAGCTGGAGCCAGGAACCATATACATAGAACATTGCAATTGGTTGGACTTCCGGAGATATCAGTTACCAAGACCCATCTACATCAACTTGGTTCGTGATCCCGTGGAGCGGATGATCAGTTGGTATTACTATGTTCGAGGTGGATATCGCAATGCCATCCACCATCGACGATTTCCCAACGCAACAATTAAGTCGGAGAAGTGGTTCAAGAAAAGTTACAACGATTGTGTTCGCAGTGGTGACCCCGAGTGTCAGTACGTCCCTGGAAGTATTAAAGATTCGGAGGGTAATTATAAAAGACAAACCCTGTTCTTCTGCGGTCACAAAAGGGAGTGTTTGTAAGTTGATTTCGAAAAAGTAATTGTTGTTTCTGAAAGGTGATGTAGAGAGTACTTTTCAGACCCTTTAACTCTCAACAAGCCACTCAGCTAGCGAAATTGCACCTGGAGCGCGATTATGCAGTTGTAGGAACTTGGGAGGAGACTAACATAACTCTGACGGTACTCGAAGCGTACATACCGCGATTTTTCAAGGGAGTCAGGAATATCTTTGAGTGTAGGTTCCACGACGAATTGTTTGAAATTGTTTTAAGGACTGACTACTTGAACACTTTTGGGTATTACTTGCTCCTGGGAAAATAATCCGTCTAAGCTAGTTACATCTTAAACACTCCGTTCTTCATCTCACTCATCTGTGTTTCGTCTTGGATATTTAATGCATTTAATGCCGACCAAAGCCCTGAACTTCCCAGCTCGGACGGGTGACCGCCCTGCATCTGAACAACACCCGATTCGCGGGTACTGAAATTGTGATCTTCAATCGACCAACCCGAGTAGAAAGCGAGCAAATGGTTCCACTTTTCAGGCAGCTAGCCGCCATGAATGACATAAATGTGGTTCTCAACGGACCTGTAAGAACGATGAATAGAACTCGAACTGAAGAGGAGCAAATAATCGAATCGGCGTGGGCCAATGAACTGGAGAGGGGATCGATCTATATGGCACACTCCAATTGGTTGGACTTTGCCAGCTTCGGATTCAAGAAACCCATCTATATCTCGCTCGTCAAGGATCCGATAGAGCGGATGATCACAGATTTCTATAGGCGAAGGTCCTGGGAGAAGCGAGCTATACACAGGCGCATGTATCCTGGCCGTCAGGAGCGACCCGACGAGTGGTACCAACAGAGTTTCAATGAGTGTGTTAGAAGCAGGAGTCCTGAGTGTCTCTTTGTCCAGTATGCCGTGGCAGATTATATTCAGGACTTTAAAAGGCAGTCCCTTTACTTTTGCGGCAATGAAGCCGATTGCCTGTGAGTACTCTGAGACTTCCTTGACATATCCTTAAAGTATACCCCTCCGTAGACCCTTTAATTCCCACCATGCTACGCAATTAGCGAAACAAAGAGTGGAGAAAGAGTACTCCGTGGTGGGCACTTGGGAAGAGAGGAATATAACCCTTACCGTGCTGGAGAAATACGTTCCCCGATTCTTCAACCACGCCCGATTTCTATATAAGTGTAGGTATTCTCCGGTATTCCCAGGGGCTTGACTCAAAAAGTGTTCAGGTACAATCGAGGAAGCATCGCGAGTCATGGAATTATTTCTTTCAGTGCACAGCAAAAGCATTCGAAATCGAAATCGCAACAATCGCAAGCCCCACGTGGATGCAGATGTCAGGGAGATGGTAAGACGAAACTTTACCAACGAATATGAGTTCTACTACTTCTGCAAGCAGCGTTTGTATAAGCAATATTTGGCCCTTCAACTCGAGAATAATCTTCACTAAATATTCTTGATCACAGTACACCAAATAAATAATCCAAACTGCTATATTATTTCAATTAGCTTAGTTAAGTGACTTGATATGAACAAAAAATAAAAAATCTTTTGGAGCATTCTCCTCAAAGAGTGTTTATTTTCGATTGGGTTTCATTAGGGTCGCAAATTCAGGTTCGCCTCTGTAATTCTTATTTTCAAAGCCCCATTTTGCCAAATGAGTATCAAACACCAAGGATCTGGAGGTAAATTGGATGAAACACTTAAATAATACCCTATTTTCCTTGATTTGATTTCTAATAACTATTGAAAACTTCCAACCAGATGTCCTCCCTTAACGTGCGGGATCTGAATAATACCCGCAAGGCACAAATGGAGCTGGTATTTTTCAATCGGGTGCCCAAAGTGGGAAGTCAGACGTTCATGGAGCTCCTGCGTCGACTTTCCGAGCGTAATAATTTTCAGTTCCACCGCGATGCAGTCCAGAAAGTGGAGACAATCCGCTTGGCCGAGGATCAGCAGCAGGAAATGGCCGAGGTGATCAGTGAGCTTCCGGAACCCTCGGTCTTCATCAAGCATGTGTGCTTCACCAACTTTACCAAATTCAACCTCCCAAGGCCAATTTACCTGAACGTGGTCCGGGATCCCGTGGAGCGGGTGATCAGTTGGTTCTACTACGTGAGGGCTCCGTGGTACTTCGTGGAGCGCAAAGCCGCCTTCCCAGACCTACCGCTGCCCCATCCCGCTTGGCTCAAAAAGGATTTCGAAACATGTGTCCTCAATGGCGATCAGGAGTGCACCTATACTCAAGGAGTAACCGTGGAGGGAATCGGCGATCATCGCAGGCAGAGCCTGTTCTTCTGCGGTCACGACTACGAATGCACGTAGGTCTTTGAACACTTTTCCTAAATTAGTAATAGGTTTCTATACAAATTGACATGATTACATTCCTAGACCATTCAACACTGTGGGAGCCCTGGAACGAGCCAAATTCGCCGTGGAACAGCAGTACGCGGTTGTTGGAGTGCTGGAGGATCTGAACACCACGCTTTCTGTGCTTGAAAAATATGTGCCACGGTTCTTCGAGGGCGTTCGAGATATTTATGCAAGTAAGTTGGAAGAGCTTGAATAGTCGACTGTCAAGGGAAATTCGACAGCATTGAAACTAGACTCAGATGAAATTAGAATACTTTACTTATAGGCCAGAGCTTAAAGATTTCAAACAACGAAATTCGTACTTTCAGTCTTAATCAAAACAGTTCAATGCTTTTGTTTTCTTTTCATTGTACAATGTAGTACAGTGCTGAAATAAGCAAACAGACTGCACACCCAAAGACTTAAGGAATAAAAGCTAAAAGGCCACTTGTGCTGTATACAATGTTGTAACACTTCCAATTGATGGCGTTCTGTGAACTTGGCAAAATTGAGCTACAAAAATCTTTATGGGACACATCCTAACTCATGTATTTGTTTGAAATTCTCCCTTTAGCCAGCGCAGAGTACTTGACGAAGATAAACAAGAACAACTTCAAGCCGCCGGTCAGCGAGCATGTTAAGGATATAGTGCGTCGGAACTTTACGAACGAGATAGAGTTCTATCAATTCTGCCGCCAGAGACTCCACAAACAATATCTGGCTGCCCACTTACCACAGCGGATTATCACAGACTCAGCACATTTGCCCGGCCTGATTGGCAATTGAATGGTGCTCCTTGCTCCTTACAAATCACGAACAAATGTAGCAACAAATATGACAAACAAAATCGTACTCGAACCTGTAGTCAGCTAAGTTCACCATTATTGTTTTCTCTTGTGTATATTTCAAAGCGGTTATCAAAAATATGACAAATGCATCTTATATTTATATAGATTATATTTATAAATTTAAATTTATATTAACTTTATAAAGACCTGATTTGAATTGTGATGTCTTCAAGTGAACTGTTGAAATTTTTGTGTTAGTATTTTAGGTTTAAGTCGATTATGATAAACAATGTATAAACTAATAAATGAATATTTTAAGTAAAACTTGTCTTTCCACTGATTTTAGCTATAAAAAACATTAAATAACTAAAAAAAAATCAACGAATGGTATAAGAGTGTGCTGAATAACAAAATATAAAGGGATTAAATATGGTCGCTTACACACGCAACCGTTGAGTATTTTTACATAATTTCATAATATATAGTTTATAAAATATAAGAAAACGAAACGATACAAACAATAACATACGTTTGTTTGACGACTTTACCATTAACCATTTCCTGGTCATGTTTCTACTGTAACTTAAAGCACTTGCTGACTATTGTCGGGCTTTCACATGGAGTAATTGGACGCTTATTGCTGAAAATAAAAAGAATTAACACATCATCTAGAGTTATCAAAGTAAGATATGTATACCGTTTATTGCCAAAGAAAGCAAAATCCTTTGCGGATTTCATTAGCTCCCAAGGTCCAGGTATAATCCTGCGCACCCGTATGATGTCCGATCCGGAAGAATCGTTGCTCGGGACTTCTACAATTCGTTGAGGTTCCTTTACATACCTCGATAGAGGATCCCTTTCTATTACATTCAATACATAATCGTCAATCAATTGCAGCCACTTTGGATCCGTTGAGCGAATGTTGAATAGTTCTGGAGCCACACGTTGTACTGCCTTGCTAAAAATAACATCCACGGCACAAGTTAGCGGATATTGATAGGCCTTTACGTGGAGGAGCGATCGCGCCTCGAACAAGCGATATATGCGATGATAGTCTGCATAACGATACTCGATGCGTTGTCCATCAGGTGATATGCGAGCCTGAAGAAATACATCATCAAAATCCATCTCCGCAGAGTTGAGAATTTTCAGGCGCTTGTTATCACGCCGTAGATAATCCCATTTATCCACGTCCAATCCGCAGCGACGATTATGTACAATATCAAAGATGTAGGTATGTCCCAGCATGGGGAACGACAGCATCTCAGTGCATCCCAATATTAAAGCCTTAATCAATTGAACACCTCGCCCACCACCTTCGTCTCTCAAGGAGACAAGCTCCGGATTGAGGGCATCCTTGAAAATTGTATCCACACAGGCCATTGCGTTTTTCTCGTGCTGCAATAGAAACGGGATTAACAGTTGACCACCTCAGGAATTGGTAGACGTTACTACAGGTTTACTGCAGGTTTACTTACATCAAATTCATGATGGCTCGCCAACTCCCAGGTGTGCGACACTGGCCCATGTCCAATGTCGTGAAGGAGGGCGGCTATCTCCACCGCCTGACGACACCAGTCCGGAAGTTTTGGCTCGTAGTGCGAATTGCGTTCGATGGCCCTGAGGTGATCCTGCGCGCTTTTGTAAACTCTGAGACATAAAATAACTTAGCATACAACATAACGCAATACTACTTATTTCATAGCTTACCCAAGGCAATGATCGTATCGCGTGTGATCGGCCCTCTTATCGAAGACCCACGGAATGACACCCAATTGGTGAACATGTTTGAGGCGCTGGAAGAGTGGATGCGCAACGATCTCTTGGATATGGCTTTGCAGCTCGATTACACCGTGAACCTCATCCTCAATAAGCATCTGAGAGGGAAAATCATTATAAAAAGGTTAAATAAAGTTCGAATTAAAATAAAACTTATTGAAGGAGCTATATCCTATGATTAAAAACATTCAGTACTTATTTATCCCTTTAATTTGTACACTACATTAAAACTATTGAGTACATTATGAGTGGGCCAAGGCTGAGATATACATATAATTTAAGTACATCATAGAATTTAAGTTATCTGCCACCACTACCGATGCTCAAGCCAATGCTGCTACCGCTACTGCTACTTCCACTGCTTCCTCCACTGCTACTTTCATTGCCGCTGGAGATTTCACCCAGGCAAATGGATACTATAAACAGACTTAGGCTTATAATGTCTGAAACTAGCCCCATAACATAACATATTGATGCATGTCGAACTGGCCATCGATCACACGGCGGATGTTGAGGATGAGCGAAACACTAAGGACGATTATGTTATGATATGAAAATGATTTATTCAAAATAGATCGGTCTTACCAATATGGAAGCGTTAGTACTTGGGCTGCTGCATATAAGGTTAATAAACCCACATTTTTTGCAGACTTACTAAAAATTAGTAAATTAACTATTGAAACGTAAACCAAGGCTGCGGTAGCCAGCTCCAAATAAGCGGCATTATTGTTAAATAAAACAACTAAAGCTGTTTTATTTATCTGGGCGAAGCTGACAAAGATAGTCATTTGGCCGCTTCAATGGTTCTTGACCCGGACTTCCGCTTCCCAGAGGCACAATGTAGTTATGGGAATTTTTATTTGTCAGCCTGCTGACGAATTGTGTAGGTAATATCCCGTACAATTGAATCAGGCTTACTTTAAAAGATATGTTACTTTAATTTAAAAAAAACTGTGACTCAGCTAGTGGAGGTGCAAACGTAAAATTATATACTTTTCTGGAATTCTGGAATATCGGTAGAAATTGGGGTAAAAAAGAAATAAAATGAGCGGTTTCTGGGGGTTGGAGTGGGCGTGGCAAAAAGTTGTTTGGCAAACTTATAGAAATTTACAGATATATGTATACATTTTTTTAACGTGTGGGCGTGGCAGTTTTGAGCGGTTTGTGGGCGCTAGAGTGGGCGTGGCAATATTTTTAAATAAACTTAATCTCAACATTCTAGCTTTTGTAGTTCCCGAGATCGAGGCGTTCATACGGACAGACGGATATGGCCAGATCGACTCGGCTATTGATCCTGATCAAGATCGCTTGAGATCGCTTTTAAAGTTGCAATTAAAAGTCTCACCGAAATATACTATTATATAAAATATGCAAGTAACCGATGTCGAAATACTGGGAAAACATGTTTTGATTCAGCCATCAAATTACAAAAATATACAATATATTTTTTTTTCCAACACATACACGTGGCGCTTCTTTTTAAGCTAAGAGATTGGTTAGAAGAAAGCTTGTAACAACCATAAGATTATTAAGACGCCAACTAAAGTGCCTCTTCCAACAAAAATTGTAATGTGCACTGCCTTATTAATTCAAACATATTTTACTATTTATTTTACAATATGTGAGAGATCGATTCACTACGCTATTAATAACTAACGACTGAACATTTAATAGCTCAAGTCTAGTTCAACTGCGATTAGTGCTCTTTTTTGACAGTGCAAGCAGCTGTTCTGCAATCAGCTGTCAATAACAATAACAACAGTTAACTCACCGATGTGCGTGGTTGTTGTTGTGCGTGGTTTCCATGGTGATCTTGTTGTTGTTGTTGGTCAAACTGGAGCTTCGAGTCGTTGGGTTCCAGGTAAGGGGCAAGGGGAAGAGAGCGCCGCCGCTGCGCCGGGGAGTGAATTACATCGCTTGCTGACATTCCAATTCGATTTCTGTTTATCGACAATCCGCGTCCAAAGCACAATCGAAACTGCGAGCACCACCATGTCTTGACCACGGTTATATTACTTCCGGCAATGTTGATTTACATTTTATTGTGAAGTCCCTGGACTCGTCATGCAAAATCCACACAATTGTTTATTGTGAAGTCCCTGGACTCGTCGCACAATTGTTAATTTTGTGATGAGCGCGCACAGCTGATTGCAGCTATCGACCAGGGATGCAGCGAAAGCTGCGCACGAATAGCGCCGATCAGCTAATCATATCGACTTTTGAATTGAATTCCAGTGGAATTTTATTGCATAATGCAAAAATTGAATTATTTGTAAAGCAAAATCCATATAGAAAACGTAAGAAGTATTATAACTATTTTATTGTTCGTGTTGAATTCATAGCTTAGGACATTTTACTACATTTTGCTAGAAAATAAGCAATGCTTATATCTCTTTCAGTGTAGGGTAGTCAATTTCTTAACAAGAATTTTATATTGTATTTTAAAAATTTTTTAAGAATAAATATTTTAAATAAAATATTTTAAATTATTTTAAAATATTATTTTAATATTATTTTAAATATTATTTTAAAATAAATATTATAACATTTCAAACACTTGTATAAATAACATTTACCCGGTTATTTGTTCAAGAGGGATGCCAATGTGGCCTTCCAAGTAATCACACTTAAGAACACATACACTACACATTCACTGCTCGACCGGTAGGAGAGATTACTTGAAATATTTTGTGACTCTAAATTAGAAGATATGCCTTACAGTCTTCACTAGAACTAGTTGGGAATTATAGGGCTACAAGAAAATATGTTTCCTAAACAAATATTAAAAGCGGCAATAACTATTATTTTGTCATAATTATATTAGTGAGTGAAATAGTGAGGTCTTTAAAGTGAGTAGTAAAAAATGTCTTAAATAAAGCCTGAAGAATGTTTAACTTACTGTTGGAACACATAGTTATTGCCGCTTTTAACGTTAATTTATTTTGCACGTGTATCGAAACTTACGATTTCTATATAGAATAAAAGATATTAACCTACGCGACACCCTTGGTATTTAAGGATGCCAAATAACCAAGTGCGCCACCTATGCAGATGACGGCGAAACCTAGTTTAAGGGTGTGTGTCCCCGCTTTTTAGATCTCTGGCTAGCTAATATCGATTAGGTTCGAGTACACCCTAAAATTCAGTACGGCAGCGCCCGACTTTTTTAGAAACTGATATGGCAGCGGCCTACATCCCTAGGACACTGGATAGAAATGTCCTAGATTCTTAGAAATCAGGATGGCAGCACTCAGCAGCCCATAAATTCAGGATTGCAACTGTGGAAATACTAAAAAAATATTTTTAAATAACGATCTTAGAAATAAAAAATAATAATAAATAAAAATTAAATTCTATTTCAATTGCCTTTTTAAAGAAGTAATGCTAGTATTTATTTAATAGCTTAAAAGCCCTACAAAAAGGCATAATATTATAGCATTTTTAGTAAAAGTTTGGTTTATATATTTGGGATAATTCAAATGGTATTTTCTAGACGTCTTTCTGAATTATCTGGTTAATATCCTACAGCCAAAATATAAAATTCCCTATCAAAATAAATGAATGAAATAATTTAAAAAGTACGGACTTAAAAAAACATCTGCAACTAGGTGCACTAGAAAGCCTTAGAAAAATAAAATGAGTTCATACGCTTTTTAAGCTGACTAATTACACACCCGAATTTCAAAATTAAATTACACCTAATTAAATGTCATGTGATAAACAAAGCCGATTTAAACCGAATAAAAGCTAGCTCCCATTCTATCCCCATCAGATATTTATGCAAGTAAGTTGGAAGAGCTTGAATAGTCGAGTGTCAAGGGAAATTCGACAGCATTGAAACTAGACTCAGATGAAATTAGAATACTTTACTTATAGGCCAGAGCTTAAAGATTTCAAACAACGAAAATCGTACTTTCAGTCTTAATCAAAACAGTTCAATGCTTTTGTTTTCGTTTCATTGTACAATGTAGTACAGTGCTGAAATAAGCAAACAGACTGCACACCCAAAGACTTAAGGAATAAAAGCTAAAAGGCCACTTGTGCTGTATACAATGTTGTAACACTTCCAATTGATGGCGTTCTGTGAACTTGGCAAAATTGAGCTACAATAATCTTTATGGGACACATCCTAACTCATGTATTTGTTTGAAATTCTCCCTTTAGCCAGCGCAGAGTACTTGACGAAGATAAACAAGAACAACTTCAAGCCGCCGGTCAGCGAGCATGTTAAGGATATAGTGCGTCGGAACTTTACGAACGAGATAGAGTTCTATCAATTCTGCCGCCAGAGACTCCACAAACAATATCTGGCTGCCCACTTACCACAGCGGATTATCACAGACTCAGCACATTTGCCCGGCCTGATTGGCAATTGAATGGTGCTCCTTGCTCCTTACAAATCACGAACAAATGTAGCAACAAATATGACAAACAAAATCGTACTCGAACCTGTAGTCAGCTAAGTTCACCATTATTGTTTTCTCTTGTGTATATTTCAAAGCGGTTATCAAAAATATGACAAATGCATCTTATATTTATATAGATTATATTTATAAATTTAAATTTATATTAACTTTATAAAGACCTGATTTGAATTGTGATGTCTTCAAGTGAACTGTTGAAATTTTTGTTTTAGTATTTTAGGTTTAAGTCGATTATGATAAACAATGTATAAACTAATAAATGAATATTTTAAGTACATCTTGTCTTTCCACTGATTTTAACTATAAAAAACATAAGAGTGTGCTGAATAACAAAATATAAAGGGATTAAATATGGTCGCTTACACACGCAACCGTTGAGTATTTTTACATAATTTCATAATATATAGTTTATAAAATATAAGAAAACGAAGCGATACAAACAATAACATACGTTTGTTTGACGACTTTACCATTAACTATTTCCTGGTCATGTTTCTACTGTAACTTAAAGCACTTGCTGACTATTGTCGGGCTTTCACATGGAGTAATTGGACGCTTATTGCTGAAAATAAAAAGAATTAACACATCATCTAGAGTTATCAAAGTAAGATATGTATACCGTTTATTGCCAAATAAAGCAAAATCCTTTGATTTCATTAGCTCCCAAGGTCCAGGTATAATCCTGCGCACCCGTATGATGTCCGATCCGGAAGAATCGTTGCTCGGGACTTCTACAATTCGTTGAGGTTCCTTTACATACCTCGATAGAGGATCCCTTTCTATTACATTCAATACATAATCGTCAATCAATTGCAGCCACTTTGGATCCGTTGAGCGAATGTTGAATAGTTCTGGAGCCACACGTTGTACTGCCTTGCTAAAAATAACATCCACGGCACAAGTTAGCGGATATTGATAGGCCTTTACGTGGAGGAGCGATCGCGCCTCGAACAAGCGATATATGCGATGATAGTCTGCATAACGATACTCGATGCGTTGTCCATCAGGTGATATGCGAGCCTGAAGAAATACATCATCAAAATCCATCTCCGCAGAGTTGAGAATTTTCAGGCGCTTGTTATCACGCCGTAGATAATCCCATTTATCCACGTCCAATCCGCAGCGACGATTATGTACAATATCAAAGATGTAGGTATGTCCCAGCATGGGGAACGACAGCATCTCAGTGCATCCCAATATTAAAGCCTTAATCAATTGAACACCTCGCCCACCACCTTCGTCTCTCAAGGAGACCAGCTCCGGATTGAGGGCATCCTTGAAAATTGTATCCACACAGGCCATTGCGTTTTTCTCGTGCTGCAATAGAAACGGGATTAACAGTTGACCACCTCAGGAATTGGTAGACGTTACTACAGGTTTACTGCAGGTTTACTTACATCAAATTCATGATGGCTCGCCAACTCCCAGGTGTGCGACACTGGCCCATGTCCAATGTCGTGAAGGAGGGCGGCTATCTCCACCGCCTGACGACACCAGTCCGGAAGTTTTGGCTCGTAGTGCGAATTGCGTTCGATGGCCCTGAGGTGATCCTGCGCGCTTTTGTAAACTCTGAGACATAAAATAACTTAGCATACAACATAACGCAATACTACTTATTTCATAGCTTACCCAAGGCAATGATCGTATCGCGTGTGATCGGCCCTCTTATCGAAGACCCACGGAATGACACCCAATTGGTGAACATGTTTGAGGCGCTGGAAGAGTGGATGCGCAACGATCTCTTGGATATGGCTTTGCAGCTCGATTACACCGTGAACCTCATCCTCAATAAGCATCTGAGAGGGAAAATCATTATCAAAAGGTTAAATAAAGTTCGAATTAAAAAAAACTTATTGAAAGAGCTATATCCTATGATTAAAAACATTCAGTACTTTATCCCTTTAATTTGTACACTACATTAAAACTATTGAGTACATTATGTATGGGCCAAGGCTGAGATATACATATAATTTAAGTACATCATAGAATTTAAGTTATCTGCCACCACTACCGATGCTCAAGCCAATGCTGCTACCGCTACTGCTACTTCCACTGCTTCCTCCACTGCTACTTTCATTGCCGCTGGAGATTTCACCCAGGCAAATGGATACTATAAACAGACTTAGGCTTATAATGTCTGAAACTAGCCCCATGGCGGCCATAACACATTGATGCATGTCGAACTGACCATCGATTATCCGGCGGATGTTGAGGATGAGCGAAACACTAAGGACGAGTATGATATGAAAATGATTTATTCAAAATAGATCGGTCTTACCAATATGGATGCGTTAGTACTTGGGCTGCTGCGTATAAGGTTAATAAACCCACATTTTTTGCAGACTTACTAAAAATTAGTAAATTAACTATTGAAACGTAAACCAAGGCTGCGATAGTCAGCTCCAAATAAGCGGCATTATTGTTAAATAAAACAACTAAAGCTGTTTTATTTAACTGGGCGAAGCTGACAAAGATGGTCATTTGGCCGCTTCAATGGTTCTTGACCCGGACTTCCGCTTCCCAGAGGCACAATGTAGTTGGTGGGAATTTTTATTTGTCAGCCTGCTGACGAATTGTGTAGGTCATATCACGTACAATTGAATCAGGCTTACTTTAAAAGATGGGTTACTTTAATTAAAAAAAAACCTGTGACTGAGCTAGTGGAAGTGCAAACGTAAAATTATATAATTTTCTGGAATTCTGGAATATCGGTAGAAATTGGGGTAAAAAAGAAATAAAATGAGCGGTTTGTGGGGGTTGGAGTGGGCGTGGCAAAAAGTTGTTTGGCAAACTTATAGAAATTTACAGATATATGTATACATTTTTTTAACGTGTGGGCGTGGCAGTTTTGAGCGGTTTGTGGGCGTTAGAGTGGGCGTGGCAATATTTTTAAATAAACTTAATCTCAACATTCTAGCTTTTGTAGTTCCCGAGATCGAGGCGTTCATACGGACAGACGGATATGGCCAGATCGACTCGGCTATTGATCCTGATCAAGATCGCTTGAGATCGCTTTTAAAGTTGCAATTAAAAGTCTCACCGAAATATACTATTATATAAAATATGCAAGTAACCGAAGTCGAAATACTGGGAAAACATGTTTTGATTCAGCCATCAAATTACAAAAATATACAATATATTTTTTTTTTTCGAACACATACACGTGGCGCTTCTTTTTAAGCTAAGAGATTGGTTAGAAGAAAGCTTGTAACAACCATAAGATTATTAAGACGCCAACTAAAGTGGCTCTTCCAACAAAAATTGTAATGTAATTGTTATTAATTCAAACGTATTTTACTATTTATTTTACAATATGTGAGAGATCGATTCACTACGCTATTAATAACTAACGACTGAACATTTAATAGCTCAAGTCTAGTTCAACTGCAGTTAGTGCTCTTTTTTGACAGTGCAAGCAGCTGTTCTGCAATCAGCTGTCAATAACAATAACAACAGTTAACTCACCGATGTGCGTGGTTGTTGTTGTGCGTGGTTTCCATGGTGATCTTGTTGTTGTTGTTGGTCAAACTGGAGCTTCGAGTCGTTGGGTTCCAGGTAAGGGGCAAGGGGAAGGGAGCGCCGCCGCTGCGCCGGGGAGTTAATTACATCGCTGGCTGACATTCCAATTCGATTTCTGTTTATCGACAATCCGCGTCCAAAGCACAACCGAAACTGCGAGCACCACCATGTCTTGACCACGGTTATATTACTTCCGGCGAAGTTGATTCACATTTTATTGTGAAGTCCCTGGACTCGTCATGCAAAATCCACACAATTGTTAATTTTGTGATGAGCGCGCACAGCTGATTGCAGCTATCGACCAGGGATGCGGCGAAAGCTGCGCACGAATAGCGCCGATCAGCTAATCATATCGACTTTTGAATTGAATTCCAGTGGAATTTTATTGCATAATGCAAAAATTGAATTATTTGTAAAGCAAAATCCATATAGAAAATGTAAGAAGTATTATAACAATTTTATTGTTCGTGTTGAATTCATAGCTTAGGACATTTTACTACATTTTGCTAGAAAATAAGCAATGCTTATATCTCTTTCAGTGTAGGGTAGTCAATTTCTTAACAAGAATTTTATATTGTATTTTAAAAATTTTTTTAAAGTGAGTAATTGTCTTAAATAAAGCCTGAAGAATGTTTAACTTACTGTTGGAACACATAGTTATTGCCGCTTTTAACGTTAATATATTTTGCACGTGTATCGAAACTTACGATTTCTATATAGAATAAAAGATATTAACCTACGCGACACCCTTGGTATTTAAGGATGCCAAATAACCAAGTGCGCCACCTATGCAGATGACGACGAAACCTAGTTTAAGGGTGTGTGTCCACGCTTTTTAGATCTCTGGTTAGCTAATATCGATTAGGTTCGAGTACACCCTAAAATTCAGTACGGCAGCGCCCGACTTTTTTAGAAACTGATATGGCAGCGGCCTACATCCCTAGGACACTGGATAGAAATGTCCTAGATTCATAGAAATCAGGATGGCAGCACCCCGCAGCCTATAAATTCAGGATTGCAACTGTTAAATTACGATCTTAGAAATAAAAAATAATAATAAATCAAAATTAAATCATATTTCAATTGGAAGTAATGCTAGTATTTATTTAATAGTTTAAAAGCCCTATAAAAAGGCATAATATTATAGCATTTTTAGTAAAAGTTTGGTTTATATATTTGGGATAATTCAAATGGTATTTGCTAGACGTCTATATGAATTATCTGGTTTGTATCCTACAGTCAAAATATAAAATTCCCTATAAAAATAAATGAATGAAATAATTTAAAAAGTACGGACTTAAAAAAACATCTGCAACTAGGTGCACTAGAAAGCCTTAGAAAAATAAAATGACTTCATACGCTTTTTAAGCTGACTAATTACACACCCGAATTTCAAAATTAAATTACACCTAATTAAATGTCATGTGATAAACAAAGCCGATTTAAACCGAATAAAAGCTAGCTCCCATTCTTTCCCCATCAGATTCTGCGGGGATTTTCCGGGGGAGGTGGGAGCGTTGGAGCGTTGGCACGTGGCTCACTTAGCGTGGAAATTGCTTTTGCTGAGAGCGCCGTCGCACTGAAGTGAAAGCGAAAGTTGCCGCTGACCTACAGATGAAAGTAGCACATCGAAGAGAAATGTTCGGGAAAAGAGAGGGTGAGGGTGATTCGAGCCAAAGAGAATGCATCTTTGTATCTGTATCTGTACTTGCGGCCCACATGCATAAATGCAGTTTCAGTTTAAGTTGCATTGCACTTTCTGCATCCTCTCGCTGAATTCCCCAAGCAGTCAACGCACTTAAAAATAACAGAGAGCACATCCAATTCGCAATAAGATACATTTGTATCTGTCCCTCAGTTTATCGTGAGTGTGTAAGTGTAATACACAACCCCACATAGGTAAACGCAATATTGCCAGGAACGAAAGCAATTAATAAAACAATGAAACAAAAACAAACATTCGACATACAATTTTGATATGCAAATATAAACAAAAAATAGGAAATTTAAAAAAAAAGCCGGCTCCACACTTGACCGAGTATAGCGATAAAGAGAACCAATACTGAGAGATATCACTGGGAGAAATAAAGAGCGTAGTCGAAATGCAAACAAATGCTGCACAGTGGTAGTGTACTCGATAAGAAATATATTTTCGATCAAAACTATCCTTCTTGCAATCCAAATGCTTAACAATTGTGTATGTTTCTATTTCCTACCTATAAACACAATTAATGTTTGTGTCTACAAGCACAAAAACAGAAATACTTGTCAGTAACTATTCTAATTTTTTTAATTTGACTTTTATAAGCCGATAAATATTACATATTGTTTGACTTTAGAAAATGTAGTGGAATTGTTGCTCAATTTAAACATACTTAGTTGGTTCGAATGAACGCCATTTCTCAAAATTAAAGTTTCTTCTTGCAACATATATTATTAAATTATAAATATGACCTGTTATAAGTTAATGCCAAGTCGGCGACCACCGTCCACTACTTGAAAAGTGCTCTCTCCTGCGTTTGCCTCTCTCTAATCGTTGACATTTAGAGTGGTGGTATCTAACCACCCAGACGCCACCCACCGAGAGTGAGAATTCCCGAGAGAATCTGCCAGAGAAGCGGTGAGAATGAGAGCGAAAGTGGGGCCCGAAAGGTTGCAACTTTTGGCGAGACTTGCCTCAGTTGCCACACGACAGGAGGGCCAAACGGGCGACTTGGAGGCACCAGACGCGGGCACGGGCTGAACTCGTATCCGTCAGATACGCGGATAGCCAAAATTAATAGTAATAATTAAACCGCTGCGTGAAATAGCCCCTCTTCAGCCGAACGCACCTCCTCTCTGATTTCGCAAAAAAATAAATAATAAGTACGAATTATTCTCGAAAATCGTTGTATCTGTGTATCGGAGAACCGAAAAGAGGCCGTCGTTTGGCGCTCTCGCATCTCAGCTGCCAGTGGGCGAAAGACGCAACTGCTGCGACCTTGCAATGCCCTTGAATGACACTCTTATTGCGGCCAAGTCGGCAACGTTGCCACTCCAACGGGCGCTGCTGCCACGGCTGCCACTCAGCGCTGGCAAAAATACACATAATTAATAGTAATAACACAGTAGCTTAATGGTAGCTTAATCACAGAAATACATAACAAAACGCTGCGCAGAACAAAAGTGAACATTTTATTGAAGTCAAAAAACTTTCGCGTGCCTTCGTGAAAGCCGAAAAGCCCCGACGGATCCCCATTAAAGCTTTAACACCAAACCAAACCAAAAGATGTGCTAAAATAATTCGAAATAATTGACAATTGCAAAGTATTCCCCGCCCGAAAAAGAAAATTTAATCAAATTAAGGCAAACATATCCGAGAAATCTGAAATATCAAGTGTTATCTAACTAGCGCCCCTGGCGGCCTGTGCAAGTGTGTGTGTGCGGCGAATGAAAGTGAAAGTTCTCAGCAGCGAGTATCCTTCGGTAACCTTTCACCACCATTGGGTCACCTCCTCCGGCATCGGCATCGCAGCTCAAACGATAGCAGGGCACGCGAATACCTACAGGCCCACCGCGCATATAGTAAATATACCTATATACCCCGAGTCGGTGTATGTGGGCGATATTTATGCCACGACTTTTGACAAGCAATTCTTTTTATTGCTCCGCCGACGAGCGAGAGTAGAACGCTGGCAAAGGCCAGAAAGGGAACGCCTTGGAATAATATTAAACATCAGGTGGGTAAATCATAATCATTGGGAGCCCTGCCATTCATAAGTGACATAATAAAGTGCGTGTTTTATACAAAACATTGCGTGCTGCTTTTATGTACCACAATTAGTACGTCCAATTGATGATGCTGCAATTAGCCAGCGTGTATATCCATCAGATACAATTGACATTGGATTTGCGACTTGAAGTCAAAGCATCATATGTTCACGTGGATATGGAGTTTCCTCGATTTAATAGTGACTCGAGCTGAGCTTAAAAGTCAGATTAAGTTCAATAAAGTGCAAGTTCAGGCAGTTCACGAAACATATCAGACTATTACAATCAACTAGTCTGAGCATTAAGATGGTAGACCGGATTAATACATATGATAGATTTTACATTTCTGGTATCTAGATAACACGTAAATGAATGA